AGGAACAATAGGGGGTCCCCAGTTGCAGGCAAATACACACTTATGTGGGTGTGTGATTCAATAGCCTATCCCCCCCTCCCAGGGTTTACGCCCATGCTGTAAACTACCGTTAGTAGACAATATAGCCAGACAGATATGTGAAATCTTTCAGCCTGGAATGCTGAAATTTGGAAGAAAAAAGAAATTTGTATACTTTTTCCAAGGCCTGGACCGACAACCTTTGGCTAATACAATTTCTTTAGATACCATGAATGTCAACGGACAGAACAAAATCGTCTAATTCGTGAGCAGTTGGAGGAGTCCGTTAACGGGTGAAAATAAAGAGCTACCGACGCGCCTTTGGTGCGCTCAAACACATTGACTCAAAAATAGATTTATTGACGTTTCCTAGATATTTTTTTCAAAGTATGGAATTCATAAAATGAAACAAGTCCATGGAATGATATACAAAGTAAAATGATTAACCCTTAAATAGGTCAATTTTGGAATTTTGGAGTCGTCAATTGGCTGGTTGATAAAGCATTGGCTGGCTGATGTAAAACACCTCATCTGTGTCAAATGAAGTCTTGACTCCTTTGGAATTTGCTGTCCCTGTTCCACATTATTGTTCACACTAATTTTCACTTAGGTTGAAGCTAATGCACAATTCAGAACCAAGAAGTGCACGTTTTAAATATCCAATCATAGGAATAATAACAATCGCATAATTTCAGTCAAAAGGTCAATCAATAGGCCTTCTCATCCTTTTACTTAAGTGATGCTGAACAGGTATGACTGTAATGTAACATCGACCTTAACATATAACTCAGTAAGGCTGTGTGTTGAGAGTGGACGTGTTTGTTCCTTAGTTTTCTTAAAATTTTCACTGTTATCAAAAGTCACTCAAACATTGACAAAAAGCCTATTCTGCCTGTGTATATATATATTAACCTTTCTGTCACGGCGCACGTAAAACCAATCATTGAAAACGTAGTAAAAGCGTGAAGTAGGGAGCAGGGAACACGACCAATAACAGCTTGCCCCACCCTTTGGCTGAATATTAACTGTTTTTTTAATAGAAATTAAAACCTGTACATTTTCATTCTTTCTATCGTTCTATAGTTGTTTTCGCACACAAAGCTGCACTTTTTCTTCTGTGTTTTCACATTGAAATTTTTTCGTTGAAATTTTGCATTAAATTGACCTTTGATTTAAAACGGTGAATTGTTTCTCATCGTATTTACTGATAATGAAGTTCCTATTGATGAGGATCGTTAGATATGACAAGATCTTTTACGGTTAATTAGTTGAATAAAGTCACGAGTACATTAGCATGCAGTTGCACTGCATGGTAAATGTTTTACGCTGGTAAATGTTTTATTTAGATGGCCAACTAGAGTGGGGCTTGACCTTGACTGTCCCCAAGGGTGTCAGACTGGGGAACTGATCCACCAAGTTGAAGAGACAACGCACCCACACGCGGAGGTTGCACCATCATCCCAGCTTGACGACTGGAGAATTCCGCAAGCGAGATCCATGAGTTTTCAGTCGTACGCGGTGGACAGTGAATGTCTCACCAGCGGTTGTTTCCTGATAGTAGGACTTAAACGTTAGCTGGGAGATGGGCTCGTAAACCTTTCGTGAATGATCGTCAAAGGCAACTGAATTGCACGTACGAGTCAGTCACAGTGTTCCAGGTGAAGGTTGTCCTACCAAAATAAGTAAATAACTTGTAATTTAATACCAGCGTGGCATTTGATTGGGAATTGTATCTGGGGTTCTCGCAGCCTATGTAATGCATAAGTGGCCCAGACGAGTTGAAATTCCTAATTTGACATTTGGAAGACTACCTTTTAAATTTGTAGTTCTAAACTTTAACCAGTGCCGTTTCATGTTATGCTATTGAGCCTGGTGTTATTTTGCTTGAATGTAAATTAATTGCTGTTGTGGTGTCATTTCGTATGCAAATATTGTATTAAGCAGTGTGCACTGATTTGTTAAATTGATTTAACCATTTGACATTGAGCTGTCTTGATGTTGTATTAAAACACAAAGTACAAGTCAGGCCATATTGAACCTTCAATTTCTTATTCAAGCACGTAGCCGTGCAAAACCTATATACATAGACTTGACCAAGTAGGGATCCTCTGTGGCCTTGCCTACGTTTATGCTTTGGATGTGGAGGAGGTTGCGAGTCGTTACTTGCTTCGCGCCCTTTTGTATGTACTTGTTACTGTGAGTTCGGAAATCCCAACTTGACGAATCTGCCAACCATTTGTACACAGCGAATCAGCTCATCTACCAAAAGTGGCAGCAACCAATCAAATTACCAGACGGTTTTTTTTTTTTACATAATTCATACCTGCATTATAATGAACAAGTCTGACTACATTGATTGGTGGAAATTCCAAGTCTGACTATTGGTGGAAATTCCGTATAGGCTATTATGCAAAATCATGTCGTTCATATGCAATTATGAATAACCACACATCACCAAAGGGGGGGGGGGTCCGATTGACTTATCTGTCAAGTCGGACTTCTGACTGGTGACGTACACGTACGACACACATTGCACAGCAAAGGTTATCAAATGAGGGCGCCCCGTTTATACGTCTGTGGTTATGCGACAGCCCAAGCGTGACGACAGTGGACTGTGTACAGGCTGGTGAAGGGATGGCTGACGACTGCATAGGTAAGAGCAACGTAAGTCCAACTTGTTTCAAGTCTATGCAAAACCTCAATTTTACACCCTTACTTGATGCGGCACTGAATCTGACTGTACTGTATATTAGATTGAAGAAATTACAATGCACATGCTACTATATAACTGGCATACTTAAATATAGACCTCTATGTTAGGTTTTTACAGCCATTTTTCCGATTTTGAATAAACTAAAATAAACGTGAGCGTGACAGTCGCCCAATATCGAAGTTGCAATCGTGGTTACATCATTATGAGTTTGACAGGTATGCACACAAATATTGACACAGTACCCCGTGAAGAGGAGGATAATGACACTTTGGAGGGAGGTTTGAGAGCTTGCTTATTAAAGGGACACTTGTCAAAACCTTTGAATGCTGAATGACACACATGATATATGAGGCTGACAAAAAAAAACTCTTGTTAAATATAACTTCGCGCATGCAATGCTGTTGCCTTAGGACTGTCCTGGGTCATTGTATGTTCTGAAAACCCCGTCGGTAATTGACGTAATTGACCAGAATTCCTGCCTCGCATTTTGTGTCAAACGAACTTCGGATATCTCTTCCTACAATTTGTACAGCCTTCAAATTTCTATGCTCAAAAACACGCCATCGAATATCCCATGCCATTCAGAAAATCCCATGCAGTTTATACTCTGAGGCAAATTTGTAAAGTACATTTTTGTAGATACAAAACACAAAGCAAAACGGCATAATATAAGAGTCCTCTGGAAAGTCGTACCACGCTGCGATCATTTCTTGCTGCACGTTGAAGTAGTCAACTGCAATACTGTCGCATGCATGCCTACAGCCCATACGTCGCACGATCTTCTTGTCCACCACGATCGCTAATTTTATTGAGTCAAAGACTCGTTCTTCAGTGATACAGGTTGTTATAACTTTGGATTATTTTCACTGCCCGATTATTTTACAGGCGCTATCGCAGACTTGTTGACGCTGCACAGACCTTATCAGATGACCCTAGTCACTCTGTACAACGGCATTATTAAAGGAAATCAGCGCCCCTTCAAGCCAAAGCTGTGATTTCAGTCATGTAACCCGTGGTTAAACATTGATTAGACAATGTTTACTCAGAACCCCCACGCGACTGCCGGAATGCAGCGTGAAAACGAGGTGTTGGCATTTTGAGATCTCTTCTGCTTGCGGTTTCCAGGCCAACGGATGGCGATCTCTGTCAGAATTCCACACTTGCTGAGAAACACTCCGACGATAAGCACCCGACCATGACATCAGCGCAAAAGAGCACTTCAGCTAGTCTGATTTGTGGTCTGGTGTCCACGTTTTTCCCCATGTGCACAGGTGCAGCTGACGGCTTTATAGCATAAGAACATAATGGGCTGTTTTGGCACAGCGTACACAGTCTCTATGCTGAACTCAGATGGGTCTATTTGAAGAACAGCTTTACTCGTAGATTTCCGAGAACCAGAGCTTTAGCCCGAGCGTTTACAATCCTATCTTCTGTCACAACGGTTCAGGTGAACTTTATGGCCATATAACCTGGTGTCGAAAGAAGCCACTTGGATTGGTTTTTTGGGGAGACATTTTGACCACTCTCCCAACTCAGGAACTTCTGTGCATCCAATTTTCCCATCGTGGCTACCGCACTGTTGTGTCTCTAAACTTCACCGACAGAAACAGATGATGAGAAAGATTTTGGAAAGACATCAGGCTCTCATGATGCTGTTGGCAGACCTTTTGTCTGCTTTTTTATTTCAAGTAAAATAAAAGGTTAACCTGCGTGGCAAAGTCTGAGTACAGAACATTATCGTTTGTTTTTCTTGTTGCTAAGTGATGAACTCAAGACAGCCAAACGCAAGAAAAATACGTCTTCCAAAACTTCCCAAGAATGTCAGCACGGTACCGTCTCATCGAGATCGAGCCGCTCTGCCCAGGGACGAGCTATACCCTGCTCTAAGCAAGAGCATCATCAAGGTCAGCGGAAGCCTGTACAAATGCAACCCTAGGAGCAGCAGATCGAACGGGGAGTTTTCCCCGAGAACTGTCCACACGGAGCCCGTGGTACTGCCCTCGATACGGCGGAAGGTGCAGGCCTACCTGACGGGGGATTTGAAAGACAAGCCAAAACGCTTAGGGCAATCCAAGAGCGACTGTATTAGTGTCGCAACTGGGGTTGCGTTTGTTGAGCAAAAGCCTGTGCCGTTGGTCAAATCCGAAGCTCCGTACCCTGGAACCAGCGACTTGCAGTCCTTCCCCAAGAGAGCTCTACCCCAGTGGACAAGTACACGGGTCAAGCCTAAAAGCATAACCAACAAGACAGGATATAGGCTGTCCCCCCTTCCGAAGAACGACTACGGAGACTCGTTAGCGACCAAACCAGAGCTGGACAACGGTCTCGCAAACACACTGGACGCCTTCAACGAAGCTAAAATCGAGGAATTCCGGTGGTGGCACGAAAAGATGCGCCGTATCGGTGGCGAAGACAACCCCCGAGCCCCGCCAAATACCGCTCTGGACCACGAACCATCGAAGGCTCAGAACGAACAGCACAAGCCCGCCAAAACCTCGGCAAATTTAAATATGATCTCTTCAAAACACAGGGATAAAATCCACACAGCAAAGAAACAAAGGACAGTGAAATCCACTAGTATTGGATTGGCATCAGATGTTATTCACAGTAATACAAGCGGGTTGAAGCACGCTCATCAACGCGATGGCTCTGTCGTTGAAAACGTGGATTTAAATCCGACTAGTTCCGCAAATGATCCGAGTTCAGGACGCCCCAAATTCAAAGCCAACCTGATTGACGTGCACGTACCAGCTGTGCTGCCACATTCAAGTCAATCGCCAAGGAAAGTAAAGCAAAGGGAGCGAATCACCCAGTGGTTAGCTCAGTGCGAGCAAGCAGTGCAATTGTCCGACAACAAACACTGGTTTCGTTTACCCGGGGTCGATTCAGACCAGTCCCGCTGCAGCACGTGCGAGCGGGAGTTCACTCACTATAGCGGAATAGACACACTGGCAGGAGACAACACGTCGACACGACCGAGTTACGACTTCACAAAGGCTCGATTGTTGTCTCGCGATGAAAAGTTTCATTCCTCAAAGCCTCTTCGCAGATAGAGTGAATTGTATCAAACGATTCACCGTTGGCTTTTAAAACTGAAATCGCATGTATTTGAAATGCTAATCTTTGGAGAAAAGAGACCGAAAACCCATTTTAAGAACAACCATGGATACAAACATGTTTACTAAAATACTACACACTTAGCAGTGTTGTTGGAATTTCTGGAGTACATGACAATATGAGGTGGCACCTTCATTCTCATTCTATTTAGACGCCGTTTATCTTGCCAACTTTTCCCCTGGTTTTCCTGAATTGCCTGGGCCTACGTCTCCCCCCTTTAAGCTTGATTCCTCGCTGCCGTGCTTATTGGAGGAGTGGGATCGATTGTGGGCATTGGAAGCCCCCCCCAAGGAAAAACACAACGCATCCCAACAATTTAATTGGAAAATAATATCGGGGGGGAAAAAGGAAAAGGGACGAAATTCAAAATCATGTATTCCTGTTAATTTATCATCACTACAAACTTTTTCTATGTGCAGTTAATTGTTTGTATTATTTGGTGTACGCCTACTCAAGTATTGGAATTATTCATTTATTTATCAAGGGATCCATGCGATGAATTTTTCTTCCACTTACTTTTTTACATCTCTATACTCTTCTTCAGTGTATGAAAACTGTTTGAAAAGTGCACCTTTTTAAACATTAGATATTGTACAACTTTTTTTTCAGGATAAGTTTTCAGGACAAGCGCTTTTGCTGTGATGTCCAATCAGGGAAGATACGTACGCGCAGGCTTTCAAGCTCACATTGCGGATCCCGAATTTGCTCTTTGGAAACATCTCTGAGAAATGTTTGTCAGCCAAAAAATCCAAATTTACAATGCGAAATAGGAAACTTCCCAGCATATTGTGCACAAATCAATGCAACATTGAAGGTTAGTACCATGGACTTCATATTTTAAAAAAAATGGACCAACAATGCCCTTAATCCGCATACAAAGGTCATTGAAGTCACCAACGGCCATCTTACCACGTCGAATACCAAGCTTTTACAAATTCATGCTCCCCATTGTCAAACAAATTTGTTCGGTATCAAAAGTTGCAATAACAAGCAAGCTTTGTACCGACTTTTTCCACATGTTCAACACATGACATGTTTATTAAAATGTGTTGAGGAATATGTTTAAACGCTAAACGCTTTTTCGTGCATGGTACATGTTTAGCTTTTTGAAATCCACTTAGCACACATTTCTGAACGCATAACACTTAACGTGTCGCGGCTAATCATGTTAAAAAGTGGGTACAAAAATGTGTTTAGAAATGTGTTTAAACTCTAAGCGTTGTTTTACAGTTTAACCGTCACCATTGTGTTCGGCACGGTCAAGTGGCCGCAGGTGGCTTTAATTAGTGTAAAGGCATTGCGAGTTCATACTTTTTCTATACAACGCCTGTGTTCAGTAACCGCGATGGCGTCACAGTTTTACTCGTGAATATGTAAATTGTTTTGCATATTCTCATTGAATATGTAAATTCTCAATGAATATGTAAATTCTCATCAGCTAAAACGAAAAAGGCACAACAATAGTGACATGCAAGTTAAAAGAGCGAAAAATTGAATGCGAACGTGTATTGAAACCACAGTTGTAATTTTAAGGTTTTTTTTAATAAATTGTATTAATGGTCCCTTTCACAATTTTTTGTATGAGTATTGGTTGATTTATTGATAAAAATTTGAATATTTATGACGACTCAAGTAAACAGTTTATCGTAATGTACAAACTATTGCTTTAAAGCCTTTATTAAAAAGAGGCTTCTTCCTCGTTATTCTTTTTCCTCTTTTTCTTCTTTTGTTCTCGCTTTGCATTTACCAAAATTACTTAATACAGCTAAGTGGCACAATTCACATAGGCCTCCTAAAATATCCAATAGTAACTCCAACGGGACATACACGCGTTTGATTTATGTTAGTCAGATTAATGTTATTTCCGCATTTCATATGCCTACATTAAACACTGGTCTCTGTTTACACAAGAACAAACAAACAAACACATGTATGATCAATTTGGCGAGACGGCCTTGTAGGCCCACTGTGTCGAATCAACGCGGGCGGTCGGCCAAGTTGAACCAACCATCGCCGTCCTGTTTGCGTTAGTCGCGATGAAGTGTTTCATTATGATTGCTTACTGATGGAAACTAATCGGCGATGCTCCTGGCGTCTTTTTACGGTGATATTGAAACTATAGGCTTAAAAATCAATCACACTAGTAATTCGCAACTTTACTTTTTATTAAATTTAGTTATGTTTAAAACAAACTATTAAGTAAAAAAGAAATAAATAAAGACTGATATCGATCTCAAAAGCTATATAAAAACTAGAGCGCTGACTCATGTACAAAGTGATGCCTGCTTGGCGCATCCATGTTAACGTTTGTGCACAAACCTATGGAAAGCATACAAAACACAAACGCGTGCGTGTATGCACTGCACAAGAATTTTGTCGTATGACTTTTTTGATCGGATTTTACCGATGCGCACGACCTTCGCCGCTCCAGAGCCGTCAACCCACTTTAACGTTGACTGAATTTAGAGCACGACTTTTAAATTTAACTGCACTATATATTCATAGGAGACAGTCATCGAAAGACATGCATACGAAATCGGACGACCGTGCTCGAATGTAAGGGAAACAATCGTTTTAAACTAATCAGCAAGGAACGTCAATAAACATGTACCATTGCTCTGTACATGTTTTCCTTATTCACAATAAGCGCTAACATTCGCGTATGTTGGACTTGAGCATTGCCAGTACGTAATTCGATTTCCATTCCATCTGATTTTGAATATTCTACAAGCACGCACATGGGTTAAAAATGTCTGCGCCCAGGAAGGCGTCAATATTATTTTCTATTAGTATTGAAGCCCTGTAGTTTAGCTCTATGATGACGTCACACTACGGCTCTACAATTATACGACTGTTTCATTATTTCGGGACAAACCAAAGATATCTATGTGCTCCGAGCGGAACGAAAGAGGGCGTGTTTTTTTTGTTTTTTGTTTTTTTGGTTTTTTTTGGTACTCACCGCATAAGGTTGCACTACTCCAAATACGCTCCCATAGAAAACAGTGCAAAATAGCGCCGCCTGTTGAATCTCGTGAAGAGGTTGACCTCCGTTTTTTTCTCCGGAAATTCAGGATTATGGCCAAAAAATCACTTTTCTTTCAATTTTGTGGGGGTAAGCCACGAAAAAAAATATTTTTTATTCGCCTATCAAGGAAGATACACCCAAATAGCAGTAAAACTAAGCGCTCATTTCCGAATGTAGCCGCCCACCACTATCCAAAATCGGCCCGCAATTTGGGGCTTTTTGTGAAAGAAATATCCCGAACTGGAAACTATTAGTCCCAGCTTCGGGATTTATAGAAATATTTCTATGATCCCTCCTGATTATAGTCTGTTTTATTGTAAAAAAAATCCCGTGGAATGCACCCATAGTGGCGCATTAACGCTGATTATTCTCTGGGGCGACTATGACAGCCGAACGCAACACACAACATGTGTTATGTTAATGGAGTAGATGTTTGTGTCCGTGAAAGTGAAACGCATGGACGCATCGTGTACGCAACGCATCCAAAAATGTACCTGGAAAGGCGCCTTAATAAATATGTATACGCAAAGCGTGCGCATATGGATACGTGTCACAGAAGCAGCGGTTATGTCACTTCCGGGCACTGGTAGCTTACCTCTGCCGGCCTACAGTGGCAATGGCGGCCGCGGATGCGCATCCACGTCAGCACACGAGTACTAGGCCTACCCAGGTCTACGTAGAAGACGTCCGGAGCGCGCACACTCTCGGTTCTTATAGAGCCCTATGCATCTAGCTTACTTTACCCGTTTTATCCTCTGTTCTTGTGCTAAAAAGCCCTTGTTACGGCTGCAAGGTTAAGAAACTCTGGGAGTGCATTCCGTCAACTCGTGCGTTGGATTTCTGTGCTCAAGCTCATCAAAAATCCTACAGGGTTTTACAATAATGGCGGCGCCCATGGAAAGAAACCAAAAGGGGCGCCCTGTCCTTCTTTTAGTGCTTTTTCATTTATGGGCAGACGTAGACGCAGAGAAAATGAGCATTCTTATCTTTTGAAGTTCTCAAAACAGTGAAAATTACAGCCCAATATCAGAAGAATGTACACCGTGTCTCTCTTGGAGGGGCATCTATCCTAAATTAGGCTAGGCCTAACTGGGAAAAGGCCTGAAATTCCCCCATTTTTTAATTCCAAAAAATTCCCCCCCCCCGGACGCCAGGGAAACGGAAATTAGAAAGTTCCAATCAATAATTCCGTCTGCTAGTCCTCTTTGTGTAGTTTTTCTTCTCTGTGTCCAGCAGTTTTGCAGAAGATGTTTGACATTCCTGTCAAACTTTTGTCGTTCTGCACAAAACATTGCTGCATTCAGTGGCAACAAACAAACTGTATTATCTTTCTTTAGAGAAACCAGAAAGCGCATTCATTGTTTGGAATTGGTTTCTCTATTTTGGATATATTTTTTTTTCGTTTGAACCTTTTTTACTGCGAAACCGCCCCTCGAGGTGATTTTCGAGTAAAATAATGCTTTATTTTTGTTCTCTAAGGATTCTGTAATCTGTAAACATACATTTTATTACGTAACAGTTAGTTAAAAGAGCCGATGTGCTATCCAGATTTTATTATAGAGATCAGTGCCCAGGGAAAGAGAGCTGTATTATGACATCATCAAATCGCTAGATTTGTTTGCCGCCCTCATCGACGCATTTTTTTTACTCTGAGCATTCAAACTCTTGCGGTGGAACGGAACTCCCAAATTGACGTGTTTTTTATAAATGCGAAGAGAAGCTGCCACGTTAGTCATGATATGGGAAAAAAGACCAATTCTCTGTTAAATAACTATTTTACGTCAAAACAACGTGACTGATCTTTCAGGGCCGCACATACGCGGTCCCGATGAGCAAATTTAATTGTCGGCACATGAAATGCACTTTGTAAGATTCCACGTCGTAAAACTGTAGGCTTAGTCAGGCTTAGTCCTGGAAACGCTCAGAGTGACGATCGAATGTCTGAAAATGTCACTTTGAAAATGCCTATCAAGAGAAGAAATCTCCCTAGAACTCCGAGTCGGCCAATTGAGCATCCCACAGGCAACTTAAGCACAGTAGACGACTGTTTTATGTTACTAGATTTCTTTGTAAGTACTCGTCGTCGGTAAGCATTTTTGTTGCGAAAGAAGTTACGAGAGCGTTAGAAAAATATAAAGATAGCGTCTTATATTCATGAACCTCAACATATGTACCTCAAAAATCGTGTAGGAAATAACGTTTTATGAATTCAAAATAATTGTTAATACAGTTAGAGGAATGCGATTAGAGGAAAATAAGGAAAAATTAATCGAGTTACAAATTTTGAATGAAAAATTTTTGACTAAGCCTAACAGGGAAAAAAAGATGGCGGCGTCCAGATATCGAAAATTCCTTCGGCTGATCGAAGAGTGGCCAGTTGATTCCAGCAAGAGGGGTCGTGACCTAGCGACACATATTAGGCAACGTGTGGCCAAGGAGTTTTCTCGTGGGGAAAATACTACAGTGAGTACAGGGAACACTATATTGCGCAAAAAAACTGTTGACGTAATTCCGCCATCATCATCTGACAGTGTCTGATCATCATGGCCGTGTCCGCACATTACGTTCATGTAACTTACCCGCTCACCACTATAGCCTAGGAGTAAGATCTGTTCTTTTTATATCACGTTTTTCCGACATGTGGTTGCTAAACCTGTGGCTGACCGTCAGCACAACAGTTATAGAATAGTTCATAGGCCTTAACGGCTAAAGACATGAAAGACAGTGTTGAGAATCCCACACAGACATGTCAGAGCACCAAATAAATCGATTATTATCTTGCTGTTCCATGTCCAGACATCTAATCTGGTAGCCAAGTTTTGGAAGAGCCCATTGGTACATGTACTATTTTATCACTCAGTCCGTGTATTAGATATGTCTGGACATGGAACAGCCGTCGAGATGATGAGGGGTCAAATGATGTAATGCTCAATTACCTTATTTTAAAGATGGCGACTGTGAGAGCGAGCCTGTGAGATTGAATGGGTGAAGGTAAAAAGACTGGAAAATAGCAGAACAACGTGAGTGAAATCATTCAATAAATGGTGCTAAGAAAGTGGAGAGGCTCAGGATCATGTCCATGTGCAAAAGAAATTGTGCCCACGATGATAAGTGAGTGCGCCAAAAATGTTCAGTACGTCGACATGAAATTGCGTATACGGATGTGTGGCTAAGGATGGATCGGGAGTGAGAGTCCGTGCCACGCTAGTGGGGCTAGCTTCTGGCTAGCATCCCCTAAACAGAGATATTGACAAATGGGAAGAGCTACCAACATAGGGCTGGGCAGCTCAGTTGGTAGAGCACTGGTACGGTATTCCGAAGGTCGCAGTTCAAATCCCGCTCCAGTCAATGTCTTTGTTCAGCTTTCAATTATAAGGTTTGTTAAATTATGAGTCTTTTCCAGTTTTGTTGTGTGCTCTCTATACATTTCCATACAGTTGCATAGTACACGTTGAAATTCACCAATATTTTCTGGAACAAGTTAACCCCTTTACGACAGGAATTTCTTCCCAAAAGCCGACTCCAAGAATTCCAGCCTCGCTTGGCCACGAAGGCCACCTGCAAAACCGCAAATTCTCAGTTTGTGGCCCTGCGTGCTCTGCACGCTTTGAATTACACAGTGAAAAGGCAGATTGTTTGGTGGCATGTGGCTCTACTCACCCTTCCACATTCCCATTGCCTCTTTTCAAAGTGGGGACTATTGTGAAGCTGGTGATTATGATGCAAATTTGGTCTTTTCATTTCTGGACTACGCACAAAGACCAATTACCATATATACAAGAGCCAGGGTCTGCCTTCTTTCACCATGTTCGCTCGAGCATGGACGGAGAATAATAGCTGAAAAGCGGGATGAGGATCTCAATTTTTATGGCGGCTATAGCCGCTTCCCAGCGCGAAGGGGTTCAGTGACTAATAACATAGGCCTGCTAATAAAACTGATGGTCCTTTGCCTTGGCCCATTTTGCTCGAAAAACTTGAATGCTTTTTCAAGATGTACTTTGCATTGAGGAGATGTTGGGTTACTGGTTTTGCCCTTACCCAATGTACATGTATGTTCATAAACACCTTACATGTATATTCAGTTCTGGGTCAAGTGGTTAGGATGTCTGCACTAGTAAGCAGGAGGTCATGGGTTAAAGTCCCACCCGAGTAAGCATGTGAATTTTTTGCAAGCCTTAGGACAAGCACTGAGTATACGGTGTTTTTGAATATGCATTGGGTATGGGCAAATCCCATATTTGAGCTTGTATGCATCAATCCGTGAATCAAGCTAGGCCTTGTCCATATCCCCTGCAGTTTTCTTGCCATGCTTTTATTTATATTGGTTTGCTATTTGGGTTTGTTTTTAGTTTCATGAAGCAACTATAGGTTTGCATTCTGAAACCTACATGTATGTGTGCGCTCATGCGTGCAGAATTTTAAAACACAAAACATGAAAACTCTCTAAGAGGCAGTCCAACTGTTGACAAATTACCAACACCTCATATTCACACCCGGTCTAACCTGCTTCTATCATTTCAGATCAACGAAAAAACCTGTGACAGGAAATATGAAGCTTTGATGCGAATTCATAAAGACTTCTACCGGCAGAAGGTAAAGAAAGGTTTCCACTGCATAGCATTGTGTGTAGATTTTGTAAATATTGATCAATGAAATATGGAACAAGTAAACTTGCATTGTGTTCCCAGCCATGAAATGCTGCCAGATCACTGTTTCTGCCGTAAGTGTTTAATATTTACCTTAATGTTGTTTTGTGGAACTTTCCAATGATAGACAGTAAACTCCGGCTAAGTCGGGACTCAAGAAATTATGACGACTTACACGAATGCGGGCTTGTGTTGTAAGTCGTCATTTTGCCAACTTACATGTACACATGTTTTGCCTATGTACATTATGATTCCTTGCACTAATTCAATGGCTTTGATTTACGCTGGTTTATTTCTACCTCCATGGTCAATTCCAGTAAATACATTCTCGATTATTATCCTGTAAATTTGATAATTGATCATGTGCCCCTAAAGACGAAGCAAGGACAGCTAGCCACTTGCATGTCACATCATACAATCGACAGTGCAGTGCGCACATGTACGTGATACAGTAACGGTACAGAAAACATACATGTACACTCATCCACATTATCAAGGGTCGTCCAGGAATCTTTGGGCAGGGAACCAGACTACGTTCAATAAGGCGACCCCCAAAATGGACGGAGCGCATGCGTGTAGCACTAGAGGGGTTACTGGTATCGATGTACTCATGCTGGCCACGTGTGCGCTCCGGACTTGTCATTTGTCACTTCTTGGCAAACGCGGCGAAGGAAACCAATACCGAAGCACATTTTTTTTAATGCTGACTTACACAAAGGAATATTTGTGGTTTTTTTGAAAAGGGTCGATAACAAGATGCCAATATATACCAAATGATGACTTATAAATGCCGTCTTAGAAATCAAATTTTCAATGGAAATGTATTACACATGATCAGGACTTTTGTCAAACGGCCGACGTGGACGATACGACGGGTTACGCGATGTCGACTTAGTCCGAGTTGACTGTATATTTATCACCCATACCATGAGTGGATTTCATGTCTTATTTTACAGTACCCAAGAATGCACGACACGTCCGCTACTGGTTCCAGCGCCGAAGACTGCCACCGAGTAATGGCTACTGGTGAGTTTCCTGCTTTTTGTTTTTAAAGTTGGTTATTTTGGTATGGTATAACTGCAGAAAGGTGCACAAATGGACACACTGAGGTTTTCTTGCGTTCACAGCTATGCCTCAGAGTGGACAAGTCCTTTCAAGTGATCACTGTACAGTCAAATCTAAGGAGATTCCTTTTCTCCATCTTTACTTAAGCGCGACCTGTTGGTCTGAGGCAAATGCAATGCATGCATACCATCACGAAGGCCCCGTGGTTATGACTTCTAATTCTGGTGCCTGCATCTTGGCAGGTCCACAGGGTCGAAGGGGTACAGTGTTCAACATGCGCACACACACCACCTGCTCACAAGTGCGGCACTTGGCCCCTAATTCTGGTCTCTGGATTGGTCTATACCTATGAAGGCTTTTGTAAAGGTGGAATCTTTGTCCTAGTAGTCATTCATGCAAAAAAGTCAAGGCTCAGTTACTTTGAACAATAGCTGGCATAACATTTTTGTCATTATGCGACAGCTTACAGAGTACACAGTAATCTAACTATGAACCCAAACTAATCAGCCTGTATACATTTTGCTAACGCACTATTCTTGGATTTTTAAAATTCTGACAGATACAATTGAGGAGATGAACGAATTGAACAAAAGCATCTGGACGAGGTTCAAAGAGTCAATTAGTGGCAACAAAGAAGGTGCCAGTTAACAGTCCCAGAACTCATGATGTTAGAGTTTCACCTGTTCAGGAAGGAAATTAGTCCAGCTTGTATTGAATGTAGTTTAACAAGACCATGCTAGGGGTATGACTCTTGAGGAGACTGAAAAAAAGCACACAGAAAACACCGATGTTTGCTGATCAAATGACATAAGAGAGGGGTTAATCCAACTTATTGTATGTAAGACGGTTGAAAACTATCACATAACGTCAATTTAGCCCTGCTTGGCCCATCCCCTTTAATTGGGCAGTGTACCTATCAAAGTTATACTTTTCTTGGCATCGCTTAAGCTTTATCCACCCTCAGACCCTTCAAAATCCATGCCAGGATTTTGAAAGACTTTGTTGGATTGTGGATGGTAGAGCCCATCCTCTGTTGCTTTAGATGGGATGAATACAGGGGTTTTGAAAACCCAGAAATGTGCTACTGTTTCCTACACAATGGAGGATTCTGGATGATTCTGGAAGGTTGCTAAACAAGATTGCTGTGGGAGTTAGATTAAAAAGGATTGATTGTTGAATAGTGAGCACCATCTGTGGTCAATAGGGAAAACTACGCATGTACAGGGTAACACACAGCTGTGCGTACATGGATTCTTACAAATGGGTCATTAGGAAGACATTTTGTGGTACATTTTTCGACCTTAGGGAGACATCGGTCATTAGAGAGACATTTCAATGTCTCCTTAATGCTCCAACTATCAGAAGGAGGCCGAATTTTACCGTCCAAATTTTGGGAGATGATAGATTGGGGTCTACATTGAAAACAAACAAGGTTTTGTTAAGATCACATTAGGGAATATTTAATTATGGGACAGTAAAGTTTGTGCACGTTCCTATGGGAATGTCTCCCAAGTGACCCATTTTCGGTAATAAGAATTATAATACATCACAAACAAGGTGTATGTGGTTCTTGAAAGCAGTTTGCTCATATGTAATCGTTTTCAGAGTCCTTTTGCGATGTGATAAAGTAAATCCACAAACTGTAGATCACGATGAGACCTGAGTTTACAGAGTTGGTGTAGCTTGGAAGTATTGCCCAACAGATTCACTCACTGAGCTGCATTAGTAGCTTCGGGTGTTTCCAAAATCTCGGCTGTGTCTCTGACTGGGCCTCTCTACTCCAGGTTCACAGGCTTAACCCAAAAATTCATACCGTCCAGATCGCACTCAGTCTCTCTTTCTTTTTGATACATGGGTTCTTAACTACACCACGTGAGCCCAAAGTTTTGATTCGAGTGTTTTCATTTCGTACCATCGGCATAGACACTTGAAAGAACAGTATTTCGGGAGTCGATGTGAAGCCGGACTGTAGAGGAATCCGCAATTTGAACAATTTCTTGGCTGCAAGCTGTGGCTTTCCTTTGAGACTTCGGTTCTGACTTCAGCGAATTCTAACTGATTGGATTTGTATCCTATCAGTGCTCAGGAAGCGTTGAAGATTATCTGTACAGTATAATGATTTCTGCCTGATTTGTAAACTGAAATAATGTTTACCGGAATAAAAAAACAGAGGTTATTAGAAACTGACTGTCAAGTTACTCCTGTCTCTTTTATAAGCAGACCGACCTCTCTCATTGTAATGTAATTAATACGTCTTTGCCTTGTATACCGTTGTTAACATTGTTATGTTTACACTGACTGCATTTCTCGGGAATTAAACTACTAAAAAAAGTTAACGACCGCTTTTAATTTTGTGTATACTTTTTCTATATGAGATATTTTACTGCTGAAAATGTGCATTTGATGTTTTAAAACATGTTTATTAATTTTTTATTCCAATGAGAAAACCATCTAGACAAACAAAACTGAAAGGCCCCACTGATTGCTTGAGAAAAAAATTACAAGTTAAGAAAAAAGCGGTCCTGAACTTTTTTGAGTAGTGAATACAGTAAAACAAAATGCAAAAATTAGTTTCTTAGAAGACATAAAAGAAATTAAAAACTAAAAAAAGTTAAACCCAACAGCTCCATGATCGTCCAAAATATGTACATATGTATTTTTGGCAAACGCATTGCGCATAGTTTTTTCCCCCGAGTTTGGATGTCCTGTCCGAGCAACTGTACCTATTTATCTCGAAATTCTTTGTGAGACGTCTTTATTTTCGCCCAATAGTTTACCACTACAACAGTTGTATAGTGGACCCATTGACGAGTCTGTGTGCCTGCGGGCTCTACCAAACCGTCACGGTTTAATAGTCCAAGAATGCATTATATAAATACATGTACAGAGAATAACCCCCCTGCACTACACCTATGTACACGTACATTATAGCTGCTCAACGTAAGACATGATTGCGGGATTTCCCAGCGAAAGCTTTTTGAAGAAAGTGACTAAAATGCCGTTTATTATTCAACAATAACTTCCGAGTTACTCAACGTCATCTCGCAGAAAGGGATTGCTGAGTTTTTCTCGTTTCCGGTAGCAGTGTTTATGTGTTTATTCTGGGGTGCCGCAACGAATGGGTTAACGTCACAGAAATATAGGTGCAGCTTTTGGAAAACCTTGTTCAGAAATGCAACTTGCTCGTGGAGATTGGGTTTTGAAGAGCTGGATTCAAGCTGAAATTTGCAACTTGAGACTTCCTCCTCAATGAAGCTGTGATGATTGGTTGTGTGTCATCCTTGATTCCAAGACTGAACTACGGAAGAACCCTGTTCGCGGTAAGTACATGTATAGTCCACCTTTCCCCATACGCAAATTATTTTCGATAGCGTGTGCCATCATGCATTCTAAAGGACGTGCCTGAGCTCAGTTATACCACGGACCATTTGGTTACACAGGCTGCGTTCAGACATTTGGGCGTACATGTGCATGTATGAAATCCTGCAGCAGGTTTGCATCAAAGCTGCAACGTATTTTACATCGAATTTCTGTTCAACCTTTGCATGAGTTTGGTAGATTCGATAGATAGCATGGATAATGTTAAATTACACTGCCCTACAATGGGGTGTTAAATTTAACACCACTGGTGTTATCAGAGGACAAAAGCAAAACACTTTTCACTGGTGTTAAAATGTTGGTGTTGTTTGGTGGTACGTTTATCACCCAGCCTCCAGTGCATTGTAACAAATAGGTGTGCAAAGTAGCACCAGCGGTGTTAAAGTAACAACCTATGGTGTGGTTATCTTATAAAGTGTTGATTTTAACACCACAGTTTTTGCCGTGTAGCCAGGCCTATGTATGTAGCACGATTGCAAGTGTGTGCTGGTATTTGTCAATACCGTGTTCAAGTAGATTAAGAACTTCTGTTAGATTACCGCAAAGAAATGGAATTAAAGGTTGCCAGATTGTGTGCAAGTGAGACAACTCAATATTCAAATGAAGTGTCCGTCATGAAATATAAAATCCTTAAGTTGACGGACACTTCGTCTCATCACTCAGTGTCTTTTCCAGAGTGACCAAGGAGTGAATTAAACTGGAAATTATAGACCTGCTTTTCCCTTCAGAAATCACGTAAAACCAGCTGCCATTGTGATGTCATGTCCGTTTGTGCTTCCCTGCTTGGTACTGGAGCCGTTTGACCACTACGATCTCAAGTAGGGCTTCTGGCACTAACGTCCTTTGACAAAGGAAACATGCAAAGCCCTGTGTACAAATATTTTGGGGGAAAACCTCCAGGATTACCCTGGCGACAATGCCATTTTTGGAAACGAAATTTGGAGGTAGAACAAAAATGTCATTTGTCCACATTTATATTTGTGGACGGAAGTTATCGCATTATCTCGTATCAAATTGTGGAATTGGGGAAACCCAGTGTTCTTCAAGAGCAATACATAACTCGGAAGGTCAGTGCCCCCGACACAACGGCATTACGTCACCAGTGGCAATATTCCGTAAAAACGGCACTGTTACAGCTTGAGCCCATTTTTTCTACATTGGCTTTTAACACGTTTAACCCCAAATATATTCAGGTAGATTGAAATGCGTTTCGGATTGTGCTTAAATGCTAAATGCTAATGCTAAACACATCCCTAAACGGTAAACGCATTTCCAATGTAAATAGCACGATGTGTCGTAGTAGAAACTTGATGGGTACGAAAGTGTTACTCTGCACCTTTTATGCGAAAGAATAATTTCTGGCATTAACATTTTCTTAGCTCTGCACTGTCCGGAAAGTACTATGTGACTCGTCACGACAAAGTGAGTGTAAGGTCTAACTCTGCTTGTTCCTATCAGGAAATAATGGGAAATGAAATTGGAAGGGGGTTAATTTGGGAGTTTTGTCATATTTCGAAGAAGTATCCCTTCTTTTTAATTTCATATTTTTAGCAGGATCAGACATTTTTAAAAAGTCTTTTCCTTACCAATTTTGACGATAGCATTAATCGTTTGCGGTCAGAAATGTTGAAACCATGTCTGAAACAAAGACGCAAAGCCGCTGGAATAATGTCCACTACTTTTACCCTCAGCTTTATTAATCACTGAAAAGCTCGTTTTTCTACTGAATTGAAAAATACCAATATCTCCTTTTGGGAAAATTCTGACTCTTATCTCAGTTTGCAGTGACAGGACACACATTTCTTCCAAAAATTCTCTGCTGCCAAAACTTGGCAGCATTTAACTGAAATTCACCGATCAACAGTGGAGGGAAAGTGATGTCATGCAAAGCGTCTAGTTGGAATGGCGCTGCCAAAACGTTTGCAGCTATTTTTAGTAGGGTACGTATGTACTTCGATGTACAGGCTATTCAACATGCACAAGGATATAATTCCAAAGGGCAAGGGTTTTGTACAACTGGATGGAACATGTTTATTGATTGTACGCCATGGCCTTTGCAAAAGTGTTGCTGTTGCAGGGTTTGTGTTGATGCCAGAAAGTTCATGCGCATTTGTGCAGCGAAACGTAGCTAGGATGTACAGGCTATTCAACATGCACGTGGTTTTCATACAATAACAATAACCAGTGGCGTAAGTTATTTGGGAAATTTTAGGGGGAGGGGTTGGACCTGCCCAACCATGACAATTTGAAAAGAGGATAGGGGGTGGGAGCGACGCACAGGCTTTGGTTGTAAATCCGCAATGTGCATTACATTGCTGCAGAATCTTACATCAGAACGGCATATTTATGGCTTTTGTATTATTTTCCTTCTTGAGTGACATTGAATACATTTTGGTTTGGGGGAAGTCCTGAAAAATTGCTCACCATCCGCGTTAAGTTTTCTTTTCACCACGTGACGGGAGGAGGATCCCCCGGGTCAAAAAGTGGCGGGGACAATATCCCCATCCCGCCCCCAGGATTTACGCCCATGACAATTAAACGAAAACCGAAGTCTGAGAAAATGGCGTCATGTGCCATCAGAGGACGCGGCATGTAAGTTCCACATTTTTGTTTTTGGAATTTGGGAGTTCGAGTCAGTCACGTGTTCAAGTTTACGATGTGTTCACTGTGAGTTGTTCAAGTTAGAAGGTATAGCACAGTGTCTTTATCGTCATATTGTGCATCACTGTCTTTTGCATTCCTGTAGATGGCCTGCGCACATTTACCTGATGTCCCTGCCGTCAAGAGAAGTGCTCCAAACTCCTCGCAGCAAGGTAAACACGTGTCTGTAACCTTTCCCCCTGCTTTTCATTTCCTTGGTATATGATTTTTAGTGGAATATGTGAACATTTTGGAAATCAGTTAACTTGTGGGTGGATGTAGGCCGTTGTTGAATTAGGCCTGCTCAGAAAAAAATAGGTCCGACTGAGTGTGGTATATTTTAGTGTGTAGGCTGGTGAGGTAAGTTGGTGACGGCGGGTTTGACCGTTTTACGGGACTTACCCTAGAAATCCCCTGACCGATCCCCGCTATCACCCATTGAATATCACCCATTGTCAACTTCACCGCTTCTAACCTCTACAGCTTGCGCTGTCACGGGTGACTGCATGTTTTTCCCCCTTTAAACACCGCATGCCAGGTTTATTCTTCATCAGTCTGGATTTGGAATGACGAGTGACGGATTTATTTCTCAAAGAAGCGAGTGTTACCGCTGGCCGGAATTCGGCCCCGGCAGGACTACCAAACGTAGTCGTATCCGCCTTGAGCAGAAGGACCCCCGTCGTTTGAAAAGAGCCATGTTGGTTGGGAGTGTTATA